AAAATTAAGAAAATAAAAACATTAGTGATGCTGGACAACATTAGTGATATGCAGGGATATTTTATTAAAAATGACTTAAGCCAGCCCAATGGTTTGCTGGTCGTGTCTTAGCTCTTTTAAGCTGGTTTTGGTAGTATCGCTAGTCTCCCAGCCAGAAACCAGCTTGGTGACCTTAGGCTAGTTTAAGCTGTTTTGTTTTTTCAGAAGGGCTTTTGGGATGTCAAGATAAACAGGTCATAACTAAAAACAGGTTGTTGACTAGTTATCCTTCAGCATCCGTTTTACTTAAAGAATGTGTTCGCTTAATGTGTAGGATGTAGTTTCTCTCTCTCTTTCCCAATGTCAATCTTTGAACGGAGCAGCTGCCCAACTTGGGCTCACTAACAAGGCCAAATGCTGACCAAATCTAGGCATCCACAAATTTGCTTTGAGAATGACGGCCCTTCGTTATGCCAGATAACAGCGGAATTACAGCACACAGTTAAAGATGCATTTGCATGGTGTTGTTTTTGGTTTGATTTTGGTTAGGAACAGAATGGCCAAAAATATTGCAAATATATATTTGTATGAGTTCTGGACTAGCAGACATGCAAAGCTTAATATGAGTTTATGGAAGTTCTCTACCATAACTTTGCTAATGGTGTTATTTTAAAGCTCTTGAGATTCAAGTAAGTTCCTTAGCAAAATCATTAATAGAAAGTATCTCTCACTCTATTTTTTTAATCTCTCACTCACACTCATGCATTCCCATAATGAAATCTTTGAGCAAGGTTGGTTTAAGTGTTAGAATCATTTGTAATCTTATCTGATGCTTTGGATGCCAGGAACAAGCACTCCCCTGGCTTGGAATTATAGTACAGATTTCTTCTCTTAATGTGTTTACTGTTGTCTTGTGCTTTCAACATGGTCATTTTGTACACTTTGGTTTATGGGTATAGTCGCTCACCCACGTTCAGGCTGCTTTTTTTAGGCGACGCAATGTCCAAACGGCTTCTATGGATGTGCAGTTATGCTTTGGTCTGTGCTTTTATCGTTTTGGATATTTACGAGATATTTTTATGTTCAGGGCGCAAGCTCAATTTCACTCGTTGCATTCTGAATATGTCAGGACAGTTCATGACACAACAATTCTAAGACTTGCCATAGCGGGCATGAATGTAAACACTTTTTTTCTACAGTCAGTACTCTTCTACAGACAGGTAAACTAAAGTCATAGCAGAGCAACAGTTTAAAGAGAATTTTGCTGTGCAAGTTTTTTAGTTAAAGTTGGTTTCCACTGTCCAAGTTTAGCTACCTGAATAATAACACATCTGGTTTAACGGCACAGACATTTGAAACTAACTTTACTTTACACCCTTGAGAACTGAGTTTGGTTAATGCCGCAGTAACACAACAGTAACACAAGAGTGCATGCTTTTGCATCGCTACGTACTTCTGTAGTGTTTTTGGCTTAATTTGTTGTATAACAGCCCATGAAAAAAACAGGTCTTTGTTGGCCCATCACTTGTATAGACATGAAAATGTGGACAAAATATACATATCATTTTTTTGAGTTTCTATGTTGAAATGTCTTGTTTAGCTTGGGCAGGATGATAGATTTGCATGTCTGCTAGTGGTTTCATTCATTCAAACTGCCTTGGATTTGTTTACAGGAGGTAGCTAGTAAGGAAAGAGAGGATGGTTCATGAAAAATCCTCTTCAAAATGGGCGAGAGAGAGAGAGAGAGACCTATAATATCAGACTGGTGTTCTAGTAATTCACTGGTTTTTAGATCACGTGTTGCTGATATTTCCTGAATGAGTTCATACATTAATTTAGAAATCCGATAGGAAGATAGATAATTAGCACATGCCACATGATAAGTTAAACCATCAACCCACCTCACACCTAAAGCAACACCAACAAAAAAAACTGACCTTTCAAGTTTGGTCCGTATCAGAGGTACGCCACGTAATCAGCAAAATTGGCATTTCAATTAGACTGCAGAAAATGATATCTGACCAAAACAAAGGCTGTAAACAGGGTTGCAAGTGTAAGCTGGTGGCAAAATTCAAAGTATTTTTACTCTGAGGGGTAGTCTTTTCCGTTGTAACTGCCGTCACGAACAGCCCTTAAGGAACATGAATGTTGAGATCAGCAGAGCTTGCTCGGTGCACACAGCAACTTCTACGGATATTATCCAGACTACATTAAATACGGATTATGTTTCGGATCTATGTTGGATCACAACCTGATGTCCAAAGCAAAATCTGGGAACTGTAGCAAAACCAGATGAGAACCAGATAGTGTTTGCTTGATTCTTGCGTCAGACACTTGGACTATGGATAATCAAGGGTTTGGTTTTGAGATTGTTTGTGCATGCATGTGTGTTTGTGTGTGCAAATTACACATTGGACCACTGCAGTGACACTTTGGCCCAAAGGATGGCAATGTTTCACACAGATTCTAGCAGCTTCCCTCCCAAATGCCAGTCTGTGAACTTCAGCGGGGCGAGCTAGGTCAGTCTTATTGTGGTTTCGTTAAAATGATGCCATTTGCTTCGACACGCTTATGGCTACAAAAACGTCTCACCCAGCGTGTCCATAAGCAGAGTCCTCTGGCAGTAATCTACACGAGCAGTGATGTGAACACCTCTTCCTCCTCCACTGTTACAACAGACGTTGTAAAATGATCATTCAGACAGAAAAGATTAAATGGAGAGAAATTAAATTCTAGACATTATACTTTAAAGGTTATTTGGCAAACTCATTTTTGGACCTCTTTTTAAATACTATGTACATTCACATTAATTTACTGTGGTAATTTTAGATATATTTATATGTGTATTTATATTATAAGATACCCTAAGGGCCGTTTCTGAGGTTCCATTCAGTAGCTGAATTCTCTTTTCATATTGCACCTCCGTTCTCTCACTGTCTTACAATGCGAGCAATATAAAATATTCTACATGAGGATTCTCATCATCAATATTGATACAACAAATCGAACAATAGGTACATCACAGCTTCTCTCCCATTAGAGTGTCTTTTTCTGTCCAATGTTCGGCTGAAACCTAAAAGAAGACAAAGAAAGAACGCGTTCCTCGTTCTGAGTACTCACACAAGCAGATATTGAAGACAGAGACATCCAGAAACAGAAAGTAATATCTACAAGCAACGTTTGATCCCTTCATGGATATCTGCTTAGAGGTTCTGTCAGGAGACAAAAGGGATGAACATACAGAAGATGGGGGGAGGTAGAAAGAGCGAGAGAAAAGAGAACCAAGTCTACGCCAGTCTCGTGAGACTCTACAGTCTTGTCATGCTTTGGAAAACGAGGGAGAATGAAATCGTACAACAAAATGTAATGTCTCAGCATTCAGAGAGCTTTAGGAAAACCAAACGAAAATGTTTCACAAGAAAAGGCTCATTCTTAGTGTACAATCCAATGAGGTTTTTGGCAGTTCCGTTGCGTTCGTCTTTCCTTTTGAGGCCAATCTGTCTGTTTTCGTTTACTCATCCTCGCCTTCTCTTTCGTTTTCATGTAATTTCTCTTTGCGGCGGACTGGGTGACGTGCTTTAAACATCCCAGGTGCGACCCTCCGTTGCCATAGCCATGGATCCGGGCTAAAGTCTGCGTTCCTCAGGATCTGAGTGGGCAGCACAGTGGGCACAGTGAAGGTTTGAGTGTCTAGTCACCATGCCACCTCTCCACAGACTGTGGAACTCTGGGCTGGCTTTACTGCTGAGGAGGTGAAGTTGTTTGTGTTTGGTTACAAGATGAGTGCTTCTTAGTAACTTTGGCAGTGTAGTAAAAAGGTTTGGATCATGTTCTTTTTTTTTTCACTTAAAATTCATTTGGGTTCACGTCAGTACAGAGAGGTGAGTCTGGTGTAGATTTTCTTGGCTCGCTAGCAAGGTAGTTAACAGGTTTTATTCTTCTTATTAATCATCATTATTATTTCTTTTGGATTTTTGGACTTTTCTTTTGTTTTAATTAAAGCCAAAAAATGAAATGCAGTGTGTCATGTTGTGAGGAAGTAGCTCTGTGGTGGAAGATATTCCGAGTGCTCTTGTCCTTTATTGACATTCCGCAGTGGCGGCTGTCGGTCATTTTAGAGGAATCCATCCTACATACTGTATATTTAGTCCTACCTGGGTCAAGACATGTTCAGAGTATGGTGCCACCCCAATTCACACAGAGCTCACCTCACTTAAAGGGTGTAGGTAACATGCCTAAAATTGTCTTATACATGAATAAAACATGTAATGTGTAACTATACGTGTTTTCCTGGCTTTCTCGGTGGCATCCAGTATAACAGACCCTGCTCATGTTGCATTAAAGGCACAATATGTAAGTTTTTGTCGCTAGAGGGCACATATTCAAAACAAACAACAAACAAAGGCGTAGTATAATGACGCCGTGACTGAGTGTGGAATCATGGGAGTTGTCGTCTTCATCCCCACAGCTGATGCAATCCGACGGGACTCGGGCAGAAATCATGTTAATTGATGAGCTAATGTATTAAAGACTTATTAAGGTCACTGTAGTATGAAGCAGGGTGGGGCTAAAAGTCGTGGAAGCGAAACGAGGCCGCTGGAGTGATTGCTAATGAAGGACGAGCGCGATACACGGCTCAATAGCAGCAGAGCTTTTATTATGCCACAGTCGACTGCTTCTGCTTCTTCCGGTCATGCGTATGTGGAGTAAAACAGCGCTGTTTTATACTAGATACATTTGAGTGTATTGAAAGTTCTGTTATAATGCTACTCTGTGCGTTCGTCACCTGTCTAATAAAATGCATAACATATTAAAGTGTCTTTGGGGTTTCCATGTTTTCAACAAAATAAAACCAGAAAAATCGAGGGGTTATGACGTCATTGGCAGGCGATGCAATGACACTATGGACACAGTCCGTTACACTAGTTAAAATTGCTTATTTCTCTGGATTTAAACATTCTTCAAAACATTTGGGATAATTTAAGTACACAAGTCAGCAAAATATATAACACTGTTCTAGTGGTTTTGGGATATTTTCATCAAAAAATCGTACATATTGTGCCTTTAAACACAGTAGATCCTTTTGTGAAGGAATCTGAGCCTTGATGGTTTTTTTGGAGATTGAGAAAACAAGATCTTAATGTAGATGTGGAAGCCAGGTTGCCGTAGTTCATTTTGAGAGGATGTTAAGTATGGTGGAGGTTCCTCAGCTTGTTTTGGATGAAGGATGCTGTAGCAGCAGTAGACGTGGCTGGGAATGGGTTAAGATTTGGGGTTCATCAGTCAGCGGGACGAGGAATCCATCAGGGCGGGTGTTGCTGGAGTGGTTGAGCGAGAAACACTGCTGGAGCTCGCTTCCTTGGGACTGCCACTGCTGCTGGTTTGCCCCGCCAGGGACAAGGGGCCTGGAGGGGTGCTCTCGGAGTGTGTGGGGGGCGCACTGGACGAGGAGGAGATGGAGGTGGTAGATGGTGTCCCGAGTGGCACGCTGCTACTCCCGGGCAGGCCCTGGCCGCATACGTGATGGTGCTTCTCCCAGTCCTTGTGCTGACAGAAAGAACCACAGTAGCGCGCAGTGTTGCATCCGCTGCACGTCTCGCTAGCCTTGCGACCACAGTTCCAGCAGCTCTGTAGGAGGGAGATGAACGAGGACTGTTTTATGATTGCCTTACAAACAAATATCAATCTCCATGCCATGATAAAGAATACACTTAAACACAGAGTACAGTATCTTATGAGACTTATTGTATTTAATGTTGCATGTTAATATGTGGATATGTTTCCAAATGGCAAACTATCATATAGTACTACTTCATTTCCTTTGAGGAGGCAAGGGAGGCAGTGCCTCCTCAAAATATTGTATGAGAAAAAAAAAATGTGTTGTACAAAAATAATGCAAATATTACAAATTACAAAACAAAAAAAAATGTATGAATCACTTGTTTTTCTAAAGAAACACTGTCCAACAGCGATACAAGCAGGTAAAGATACAGCTGGAGTCTTTCTTGCCTCCCCTGAGCCCATTGAGTTTTAACAGACCCCCTGTCTTGTCTGTGTCCAACAGTGGTATGTACACTATACAGTATGTGTAAAATACCTAGATGACCTGCTGCTTTTGCCAAAATGGGCAGTGAACAACCAGAGAGCATTGTCTTTAGTGTGACGAATGAATTGAAGCAATATCCAATAGTAGGCAGTATGCAGTATACTAGTCATCTATTCTGAACATTGGCTACTTGTGGTACTTACTTCACTGGAGTCCTCCTGCTGGTTAATGACAGTCAGCGCATCCTCAGAGGCCTGTCTCTTAGCCTCGGCCAGAGCTCTCTCCATCTTGGAGCGCTCAGCAGAGATCATCTCGTGAGCTTTCCTCTCAGCATCCGACACCGCCTTCTGCATCTCTGACATGGCCTGTCTCTTCACTTCATTTACTGCCTCTTCTGGAAATGAGGAAGGAATATCATTATCCCCGTAGACCACTGCTGTTCCTCTCAACATCCTTTATTGAGGCACTCAAAGCTTTCAGCTTGTTTCATCTCTCCAAACAGATGTACATCATCCAAGATTTAAAACATTCTGTCAGAAAAATAAGCTATTAATAATTGATCCGAACAACAGTGGTTACAATTATTTCTAGTGTTGATAGGCAGTAGACATCTTGAAAGGTTGTTCACAAGCTTGCCTATGTACCTAACAATACATTATTAAATATTTCATATTTTTTTACTAAGTGGATAAATGGCAGAGCAAATGCACAACTTCATTACTGAGGCTGGATCGTTCCATATAGAAGAAGGAAAACCAGGATGACTAGTGGCAAACCTTGCTCTACCATTGTTCTACCAAATGCCATTGTTTGAGAGTAAATGTTTGTGTGTTCGCGTATATAGGCCTACGTGTGTTTTCAGGACACGCAGGTGTGAATGTGTGTACGGGTGTTGTCTAAAATAGAAATCTAACACCTGACTCATTAGAACTCTGAACATTAGGGTTCCTTGTGCTCCATTGTCTTTCCTTGGCCTTTTTAAATGTGAACATTTAACATAAGCTCTAAAACCTAGTGAGCTAGGTGACCTAAACCACATTTTAGGGCATCAGAGTGACATTTCCAATCTGAAGGCTGTCCCAAACAATAGATGCATGCTGTCTTAAAAAATATTTGGCCAAAATCTAATGCAGCATTGCATCCATCATTTGCTGAAAAAGCAACCCCAGTTTGCATTGTGACAAGCAGAACAATGTATCTAAAATGGTAGGCGTTTTAAGACTACAAATGATTATACATACATTTGTATTGCATTCAGTATGGAAAATAATAATTGTAAAATAAAATTTAAAATGAATTATTTTACCCAGTATTTTTGTGTGAAACATTTTTTCTGATTCTTTTAGTATCACGCTGTTAGCTTAGCAACATGCTAACACCAAATACCAAATTCTCATGCGCCTCACATAAGGAGTTTCCTAAGCGGAGCCTTTAAAAACAGTCACTTTTAAAGTTCCATTTATGTTAGAATGCTGTCTACTGTTTTGTGGGGTAATGGTTTAGACAGAATGTGGGTGATTTCAGAATCTGTCAGGATATGATGTGCTTGGTGAATGCATGTGTATTGCTGCAGGGTGTACACACACACACACAAACATTCTTATTGCAGATTTTTCATATGTCTGGGCTCTATACTCTTTGCCCCATAGTGTGTTTACTCTAGAAAGCTGGTTGTGAGGAACCCGCTCATAAATATCTGTCATAACACACCCTCCATTCAATTCTCCATAGAGTTCTGCCTCAGGCTACTGACTGACTGAGTGAATGTGTGTGTGTTTTCATCTACATCACTACTGTCTCAGCTGGAAAGCTAGTTAGTATTCAGTTTGTTCTCTCCGCACCTCCCACACACATCTCCTCATTTTTTCATCCTGTCTCTGCCTTCATTCTTCACTTCTTTGGTTTTTTCTTAATCTTTTTGGTTCTCGCCAGTTTTTCTGTATCTTTGAAAACACTAGACTGCTTAATCAGAATCGGAACATGCACCACTAAAATTAGTTTGCAAATTTAATTAATGTTTATCAAGGAGACTTGGGAGCAGATGCTAGAGCAATTGGCACATAATGGAAAACATGGGGCGGCAATATTAACGTTTTAATCCCACAGGGATATGACAGTATTTTTTTTCCTTTTGCTATTCTCTTGCATTTTCAAAGACAGGCCTCACCAAAGGCCGAAGGACATGAAAATCTAGACACCCACAGGTAAGAATATTCATGTTTGGCACTCCTTTAATATCTCAATTAATTCCCATAGACAGCAATGAATTAGCAGTTTCTAAAAACATTTCTCCTCCGAAAAAGGTCTTAGTAGTCTCACTTTTAGTAGCTAATCTCAGTTTTTGGTTTACCTCTGGAAGTTTCAGAAGAGAACTGTCAATGCTTTAAACTATGGTTTACACTCCACCAAAAAAATCTCAATATGATTTCAAACATTTTTCATCAAATACGTCAAAGTCTGATTTGTTTGAGCTATGCTGTCCACATTAATTTAATAGTTCTGCACTCTTAAAGGGGTCATATGATGCGATTTCAATTTTTCCTTGGGTTTTATGTTTTTGTCTCGTCGCTCCGGCCGGGACACGGCATCAACAGTATGGCGAGGGGCGTAACATTTCTGTCACACGCTTGAGGTATTTTTGTAAAAATCGACGCGTTTCAAAAAGGCGGGGCATAGAGGAGAAACAATAATGTACAGTATGTGGAAAATAATGTTTTTTTTACTTTAAACCGCATAAACACATTTCATTACACCAAATACACAAAATAATGTTCTTTTTAGCAGCATCATATGACCCCTTTAATACATGTCAATATTTGTCTCGTTTGTTTGCATTAGGTATTTTAGGAGAAACACCTGCAAACATTTTTTTAGCCATAACTAGAAAAATTATACAGGGCCATCTATGCAATAAAATGAAGAAAGAGCAGGTTGGTTTGTAATGCAGGTGCTGTTACTCACCCTGCTTGTTCTGGAGCTGCTTTAATGCTGGCGAGAGCGGGATACTTGTAGCACCTGCATGAAAAACAACTGCAGTTAAAAAGGCTTTTGTCACAGTGAAAATGCAGCTAAGTTTTGCAGACAACAGCAGCATTATTCCAGCATTTTAAATTAGTAATGGCATATTGATTTTACTTAGCTGTAATGTTACTAGTGTGGGTCACAGTTAATAAGTGCCCTTTGATCTCTGACCTTTGGGCGAGTGACACCACCTGTGCTCTGGCTGACCCCATCAGTATTGTGTGTGACCTACATGGCACAGAGGGCAAGCAGGCTTATGTACAGCCCCCTAAACCTTTTACTATATATCTAACTACAGTAATAAAACAGACTCTAGTGAACAAGAACAATCCAGCTGTGCTTTTCTCTCACTTTTCTTTCTTTCTTTCTTTCTTTCTTTCTTTCTTCGGGCAGGGTCAGGTGTATTGGCCCTACCTGTGCTGCTCTGCTGTTGACTGCGGCAGGTTACTGCATTCTCACTGCAGCTTTAACTGCTGTTGTCTTTCATGGTCGTGACAGATGGAGAGCTCTTAACAGTAACGGAACTCAACGGCCTTTCCCGCTCCTGGCCTTGCATAACTACGGCTGTGAGGCCCTGCAGGCCAGTGTGCATATGTCTGTGTGCACGTATGGAAGTAGGTGACAGTAGACAATGCACTGTCCAAATGCACTTACCAGCCTTCCGCCAGATCTCCTCGGGTAGGTAGCCTGACGGGGACCGGTGCAGGAAGTCTCTGTGGATTTCTGTAAAAGAACATGAAAAAAGCGACTTGGGTAGCCCCTATCACAGTGAAATTTCATTGATACAAAATCCCTCTTAAATATTGAATATGTTGTGTCTGGCAGTGTCGTGAATTATTTTTGCTTTCAGTGACAACAAAAATTACTCGTTGTGCTTGGTTAGGACAGTGTTTCCCAACACTATTCTCAGGAACCTATAGTACTGCACATTTTGGATGTCTCCCTTACATGACACCTAATTCAAATCATAGATCACTGTACTAATGACTTGTTGAGTGGAATCAGATGTGCTAGCTTACAGAGACACCCAAATACAGTACTTTGAGTCCCTAGGAACAGGGTGGGTTAGGACATGGTGTGACAGACAAGAATTAGCTGCCCCATGCCTTGGCAGTGGCTATAGACAAGAAATGGTAGGGCAAAGATAAACTGTAAGGTAAGGTAAGTGGGCTAAATGTGGGATCACATGCTAACTATACATTGCCCATCATAACTGACATATTTATACATAGAATTCGAAATTTGTACATATGTAAACTGCACACTTGTAAATAACATCGGTACATTCATTTAAACAATAACATTTTTTTCCTACACTTCTACGTCTGTATATAGTGCATTATTTATTTATTTTACTTATATTAGTGTTATATTCCATTTCTACTGTTTTATTCCTATGTATGTCTGCACTATCATGTATGTTGCACTATGTCCGTACTTTCTTCTGCACTGGAAGCTCCTGTCATCAAGTCAAATTCCTTGTGTGTGTAAACATAAGTTGGTAATAAAGCTCTTTCTGACTTCTGACTTCTGACTGGTCACCTAAAAAGACTGGTCGGATTTTTGTTAAGTTTAGTTTTAAATCACATTAATCTGAGTGGTGTGTTGGCTAATGGAAACCACTTAGACGAGGGTGGTCGCTAAGAATGTGTGAGACATGCTGCGTGCCGAGCATCTGCGGCTGCATCTGCAGTGGTGCATGTACCTAGCGGTTGTGTGTCGCTGCTGTTAGGAGTGTTGGAGGAGGAAGAGTTGTGGTGGGGAGGAAGAGGAGGAGGCCGCTGGGTGGAGCTCCCACCTTTTTTCATATCCTCCACATCGCTATAGCGACGGATCCAGTGGTTCATCTCCTCACGGTCCGCCTCCTGGCAGCGTCGCAGCACGGTGAGGGAACGCCGCGTCTTCTCCACCATATCCATGATACAGTTCAGCAACTATAGAGAGATAGAAAGAAATGGGAAATAGTAGAAGAGAATGTTATGAACCAACATTAGACCAGTTACATCCTATAGTCCACAATAACACTTCCACATTGCAACTTCTTTGGCCATTACTAATAAAAAAAAGATGCTATATTTTATTCGAAGGGCTGATGCAGTAGTGAGCAGCACAAGCATGAGATATTTCGAACGCTTTTTGTGAGTGTGTGTGTGTGTGTGTAATCCAGTGGTGCAGTGAGCGGTTGAGTGGTTAAGCAACAATAGCCCTGCAACAGCTGTGCTGCCAGTGGGAGAAGCCAAAACAGTTCATTCTTCTCCCATGCTTCTACAGCCTTCTCTCACTCTCGTCCTCTTTCCTCCCATCTTCCCCAACCACCCACCTCCCCTCAATAAGATCTCCCCTCATCCATGTGATGCCATTCTTCACTCTCTGAGTATGTTGTTGGCTGTATTTATTTCAGATTTGGATACAGTCCAGAATAAGCCTGATTTCACAGACTGCAAGCCTTGTCTCAGCTGCTCTCTCCAGTGGGAACGTCCTCCACTGCGTTCCTCACTCCATCTGTGGCCTTTTTATTCAATATGTGTCTGAATGTAAGTCTGTATAGAGGCAATGGTGAGGTGAGCAAAAAACATAACAAAGGCCTTGCTGTCATCCAGAAAAGGTCTGAGCTAAGTCATCTACTATCATGTGTCCATATGTCTGTCAATGTCCACTCCACTATGGTGCTCTTCTGTTTTGTCTTTCACACCTTTTACCTCCTGTACCACTTCCTTATGTCCATTAGTTGACCTTGTTTTTGACTTGGTGCACCATCTTGGTCAAGTTGGTTATGGTAGTTAGATCACCTTGGACCAGCAACCAAAACTAATTCTAACCACATTAATCTGATATAACTTGTTTTTCCCTCATCAGAGTTAGCAACTATTATGCTCTCTGCTTTATGTATGAAAGATAATTAAAAAAAACAAAGCATCTTGTCACACATACGTTATCGAGGTGCTTCCATTCCTCAGCCCACTCGCGGTCTGTCAGCCGATGATCAATCACTTCCTCTTGACGTGTTCCATGCACGGCTGTAACACAAGCACAGCATTACAATAGCATACGCACAATGTAATCACAATAGAGAGAAACCATGTCTATGTATGTGCAATTCTTTAATGCTTTACACTCCTGCCATTACTTCTGCAGTTGGAAATATTACTCAAATTCAAAAGTCTAAATCATAAACTCTGTTAGGATTAGCCATATTTAAATTTGTTGTAAAACTGCATGTATATATGTACACCTGTGACTGTGTATAATTTGAATTATTGTTTAACACCACTTAAAGTGTTAGTTCACCCAAAAATGAAAATTCTGTCATTAATTACTCAACCTCCGCATCACCCTGGTGCCATTTTGGAGAATATCTGCGTGATGCAGCTGACACAGAACAGCATAAGTTGTGTACGTCCAGTGGATATTCTCCAAAATGGCACCAGGGTGATGCGGAGGAGACGAATTGTTGAATAAAGTCTTTTTTTTTTTCTTTTGCGCACAAAAGTATTCTCGTAGCTTCGTATAATTGCGGATGAACCACTGATGTCACATGGATTATTTTACAGGTCTCCTTGCTACGTTTCTGGACTTGGGAACATTTCAGTAGCATTGCTGTCTATGCAGGGTCAGCCAGCTCTCAGATTCCATCAAAAATATCTTAGTTTGTGTTCCGAAGATAAACGAAGGTCTTACGGGTTTGAAATGAGGGTGAGTAATTAATGACAGAATTTTCATTTTTGGGTGAACTAACCCTTTAACTATGGTAAAGTCACTGTAAACATGGCCCCAAGTAGCTTATTGGTTTATTTTACTATAGACTACACCACCCTGACCTGTCTGCCGGTGACGATCCCGGACGTCCCTGTGCTCTGCGTGTCTGTAAGCGTCTCTGTAGTGGTGGGCGAGTGCCATGTCTTCCAAACGGTAGTGCTGTGGGGCAGGAGGGTTAGGATGTGGAAGGCCATTGGGTGGATGCGTCGGTAGGCCATTGGGGGGAGGGTGAGCAGGTAAACCACTGCTTGGGCTGAAGCGCTGACTGGGGCTCACTGTGCATGGACGTTTGGCCAGGTGCTCCGGGTGCAAGACATCCCTGTCCCCTGCACTCTCTTTGGTCCTGTTATAAAGATTGTAGAAATGCTGTAAAAAGGACATTTTCAAGAGGAAAGAGGGCTATTGATAGTTTTGCATTCTTACAGTCTAACCCATCCCACCTCCCTCTTTCTCTATGCCCCTCCACTCATGTGTCCAAATGTTGAGGCCAGCTGTGAGCCATATGTGGACTAGCCTTCATATACCAAGAAAATGAGTTAAATCCCAACCCCTTAATCTTTCCTGTTCTCACCCGTTTCTCTCTCTCTCCTGCGCTGCTGTACTGTGAGAGCTGCTCCCTTTGGCAGATGTTCAGTGACACTGGCGTTTTGGAGCCATCTGGCTGGCCTGTGCTGCAGTGTTGATAATAATCTGTTTAGCTGAGTGCAGCAGCCAGGCATTCAGGGCTAAAGCTCCTCTCCCTTCTGCGAGCATGAAATACATGTGTGTGCGAAGACTGTGCAAGCTTGTTTTCTTGCACTTGAGAGTAGAGTGCAGTTGGCTTGGACATCTGAATCTGGCTACATGTACGACACCCCATCATGCCCGCCTCCACAACCAACCTAAAAACTTCCAACCTTTTGCAGCATTTCTGCAGTTGTGGCCAGATGTCCCACAATTCAAAGCAACAGCTGGGGCCCTTGCCGTGATATGGTAAGCCTAGGCTTCAGAGATGGAGGTGTATGGATTAAAGTAGGGGATTGCCCATTCCTCTACCCCCACCCCTCTCTTTTTCTCTGCCTCTCTCTCTCTATTCATCCCTCCCCCCGGATCAGTTCAAGCAGGGGTTCAGCAAGATCACCATCTGGACACATCACTGACATATGGACAGCTACTGGGGAATTAACAGGAGACAGTGCGGATGCGAGAGTTGAAGAAAAACAAAAGGAGGAGACAAACAGAAATATTGGTGCTTTAAATTCCACAATTAATTTTTGGATTGTCAAGAGTTCTAAATGTCTCGCCAATGTATGGAGTCTGTTGGTATGCATATGTGTTTGTGTGATGTTAGAGCATCTCATTCTGTTTCTGCTCCACAGGCAACTGGCAGCACCTGGCAGACACGCCACACACACTTCCACCTTCTCTCTACCCTCCTCATGGTCTCCTTCTGTGTGGCCTAACCTTCCCACACCCTCCACTCATTACATTGAGGGTGTGTGCATTTTGAAGCTAGACAGAAAGAAGTATGCCCAGGGCAAGGTTGTGTTGACATTAACCGTAGCTGTCTACATTTTTGCCTTTTGCTTGACTTTGCAGATATTTATGACTTAAGGTATTTGTTATGAAAATGGTACACAGAAAGACCAGTTTGTGTGCGTTAAAGTGTGTATACCTGTCCGGGGTACATCTCTTGCCATGCTCGTTGAGTTCCAGCATGATCTCGGAGGAGTCCAGGGGAGAGCTGGCATTGGCATCCAACAGCAGCTGTTCGTGCTGGGCCAGATACTGGGCTGGGGTCTGCTTAGCCATCCGAGCACAGTGAAGCAGCTCCCTCTGCAGGAGGGGCAAGTTAGCCTATCGGACAGAAAGAGAAATAAAATGTGGGTGAGAAAGGAGAGCATTTCTTTTCATAAAGACGAACGCAAATCTCCAGGATCAGTAGTGCTGGTTTGGTACCACTGGACCCAGGCCCGGTTCTACGGGGATGCTAGAGGGTACTAAGCACCCTCAAACAAAATCAATAGCACCCTCAGTTAAAGCTGTAATAATGGCATTTCATTGCAGATTTGGCAAACAATCCAGTGCATTATGGTTTGCACTTTGGAGATCGGTTTCTATTTCAACGTGTTTTGCAGCGTTGAGCAATAGCTAATCACAGACATATCTGTTGATTCCTTGTACTCAACGGTCAAAAAACGCCTGAGTTTTTGCAGGTGTTGTGTTCAGCACGAATCATCTAATTATAACAAAGTTTAGTAGGTGCAATGAAAATAATATATTCATTGTGCAGCGTAGAGAACTTCATTGATTATCACATAACTTTGTGAGATTGTGATGAACTAAGATGAGTGACAGCAATGGATGGCACTAAAACCTTTATATAGCTAGCCTATATATTAAGGTTAAAGCACCCTCACTAATTTAAAAAGCACCCTCAGCGATTTGATTCTGGAGCCGGGCCTGAGTGGACCACTAGCAAAATCTGGTTAGTGAAGCTGGTTAACCAGTTCTTTCTGATCAAGCCTAGTTAAGATAGTTAACAAGTCTATTGGTGATACAGGCTGGTTTATGCTGTTTAGTCCTCGTTTGGTATTAGTCTAGCTTATGGTTTGTGATTGACATTATTGGTGAATGCTGACTAGAATGGCTTTCTGCATATGTTGGTTAATAAAGTAAGTCTTGATGGTTATGCAAGTTAATATTCCTAGTGGGGGCAATCGTTGGATTATGCTAGTCAATGCTGGTTAATCTAGTCAACTATAATGTGTTTTTCTGAAGCTGGTTAACCAAATAAGGCTTGCCGTTTAGGTTAGTTAGTCCAACCTATGTTAGTACATCAGCATCCCAAGCTGACCAGTATTTAAAACACAGCATATTCTGATGGCCAGTTATGTTGTTCTTTTAATAGGGTTTGTGTTAAGAGAGAGAGAAAGAAAGAGGATGAGATAAAACAGACACTTTCTCTGGCCCACCATGTGTTTGTGCCTTGCTGAGGTCTGCAGGAGAACTCTGCTGCTTGCCATGCTCGTTGAGTTCCAGCATGATCTCGGAGGAGTCCAGGGGAGAGCTGGCATTGGCATCCAACAGCAGCTGTTCGTGCTGGGCCAGATACTGGGCTGGGGTCTGCTTAGCCATCCGAGCACAGTGAAGCAGCTCCCTCTGCAGGAGGGGCAAGTTAGCCTATCGGACAGAAAGAGAAATAAAATGTGGGTGAGAAAGGAGAGCATTTCTTTTCATAAAGACGAACGCAAATCTCCAGGATCAGTAGTGCTGGTTTGGTACCACTGGACCCAGGCCCGGTTCTACGGGGATGCTAGAGGGTACTAAGCACCCTCAAACAAAATCAATAGCACCCTCAGTTAAAGCTGTAATAATGGCATTTCATTGCAGATTTGGCAAACAATCCAGTGCATTATGGTTTGCACTTTGGAGATCGGTTTCTATTTCAACGTGTTTTGCAGCGTTGAGCAATAGCTAATCACAGACATATCTGTTGATTCCTTGTACTCAACGGTCAAAAAACGCCTGAGTTTTTGCAGGTGTTGTGTTCAGCACGAATCATCTAATTATAACAAAGTTTAGTAGGTGCAATGAAAATAATATATTCATTGTGCAGCGTAGAGAACTTCATTGATTATCACATAACTTTGTGAGATTGTGATGAACTAAGATGAGTGACAGCAATGGATGGCACTAAAACCTTTATATAGCTAGCCTATATATTAAGGTTAAAGCACCCTCACTAATTTAAAAAGCACCCTCAGCGATTTGATTCTGGAGCCGGGCCTGAGTGGACCACTAGCAAAATCTGGTTAGTGAAGCTGGTTAACCAGTTCTTTCTGATCAAGCCTAGTTAAGATAGTTAACAAGTCTATTGGTGATACAGGCTGGTTTATGCTGTTTAGTCCTCGTTTGGTATTAGTCTAGCTTATGGTTTGTGATTGACATTATTGGTGAATGCTGACTAGAATGGCTTTCTGCATATGTTGGTTAATAAAGTAAGTCTTGATGGTTATGCAAGTTAATATTCCTAGTGGGGGCAATCGTTGGATTATGCTAGTCAATGCTGGTTAATCTAGTCAACTATAATGTGTTTTTCTGAAGCTGGTTAACCAAATAAGGCTTGCCGTTTAGGTTAGTTAGTCCAACCTATGTTAGTACATCAGCATCCCAAGCTGACCAGTATTTAAAACACAGCATATTCTGATGGCCAGTTATGTTGTTCTTTTAATAGGGTTTGTGTTAAGAGAGAGAGAAAGAAAGAGGATGAGATAAAACAGACACTTTCTCTGGCCCACCATGTGTTTGTGCCTTGCTGGCTGTGCTGCCTCTCTCTCTCTCTCTCTCTCTCTCTCTCTCTCTCTCTCACACCCTTGCTTTCTTGTTGTCTTTTTTTCTCTCTGGCTGTCAGTATAACATTACACAGCTGGCTGATGATACAGATGTGTAACATCAACACTCTGCAGGCCTTTGACAGCAGCCTGTGAGCAATGTGCTGGGTGCCATGTACCACAGTGCTCTGCTTTGAATAAAACACTCACACTATGAGATATGTCTTGTGTAGTCTATATCTCACTAACATGCACACACGCATAGTGGAAGATGGGGGGTGGGGGGCCTCCAAGGCAACTTTCCACACCAAACATTTTCTTGTTCCATTCTGTGGTCAATGGATACATTATCTCTCTACAACCAGTTATGGGTAATATCTATATGCTGAAATTAGATTTTTACATTTGTGAATGTGTTTTTGAACTGTTGTCTCTATGTGTCCCTATATTTTATGCTGGTCAGGGGAGTGTGGCATCTGACTTGAGGCCTCTTCAATACTAGAACATTCTGTCAGCACCCAACTTGGGACTGACAGTTTAAATCTGTTTTATCACTATATGCATTGCAGTAGTAAAGCATGTGAATGGGTTGGATGTTTACCAGACACAGAGATGACATATGTATGTCTGTGTATTCACATGTGTGTTTGGGTTGGGGTGATTCAGGGAGTCATGACGCATCATATTTTTTGTCACTAAATCTTTTGCAATTAAGTATGCAATCCACATAGTGATTTCCAAGTGATTTAATTTCACATTCTGATCATGTATTTGTGTACATCAATGCAGAATCATTTGAGAAAGAATTACAATGCATCAGAGAATCTGTGTATGTGTATGAGCCCTGGATCTATGTGATGTCTGAGGACAGAAAGGGATCAGCGTAAAGACAACAGCGGCAGAGCAACGGAAAGCTGTGCTGCTTACAGCACCCACTGCAACATCTGCCAGGAAATCTTCTTTGGCCCACACCACTTCTCTCCACTCTGGGTAAACACAAGTGTGCCAATTTTAATGAATCACAAATGATGGCCATATGGAGCTCTAGATCAGCACAGCCCAGCCACAGCAGAGCAGGGGGGTTGGAAGAGGCTGAGGATGCTTTATCAAATGGCCTTCACTCATCTACACGTACAGAACACTATGTATCTGGGGTCAGGGTGAGATACAGAGTGAGTTTGTTCACGTGTGTGCCGATTCTGGCTGCAATCCATCTACCAACTTTTGGTTTGTCACTTTGCCTGTCTGTCTCAAAGTCCCACTACCCTCCTCCTCCTCCCCTTCCCATATGGTGCACCATAAGGAAGAGCTCCTCATACAGATAGAGAAAGACTTTTAAGAACTCTGGTGGAGTAGTCTCCACTTTAGACAGCACATCCGCAGACAGTTCACCCATCGTCTGATGCATATTACATATAAATGCCAAGAACTTTTTCGAAATGCAAATTGATTGGCTGGTTTTACAAGGCAGGGTGCGTGCGTTTTTATCAGTCTGTAGGGAAACAAATTCCCTGGCTACTACAATTTGCATGGTTCATGCTATCAAATCTTTGATTATATGCAAGAGATTTGCTTGTTATTAGAAAATTAACAGTTTTCAGATTTATCCACTCTGGGACCCGGTTTCAAAAAATAGTGGTTTCACACTCCCAAAACGCCGGTCTGGACGAAATGCCAATCTGATACAAAATGTTTGCGTATAAACGTGTCTCCGTGTGGACAGGGCCTAAGTGAACAATTCTTGGCCTGAACAATGCAATGCAAAGTCTCTCTATACATGATTACTGGCAGAAAAAACTGTGTATGTATGAGATTAATGTTTATATGCCTGTTCTTACCTTGAGAAATGGAATGACAAAGGGACGCAAGGGAAAGTTTGTGGCTTCCTGAAGTTTGGAGTGGAACTCCTCAATGGTTAGAGTTGAGTTCTGATAAGACAGAAAAAGAAATCCACTTAACTCCCAGTGAAGAAAAGAATTGTAGACCGTACACACAGTTCAACGATAAAGAGAGCCATTAGACACTCACCACTAGCCCCAGCACCAGGCTGCGTACACGTTCTCCAATCTCGGGCGAGATGTCGTTGCCAAACTGCTGCAGTGTGGTGAGGAAACGCTTAAGCTTACAGAGTTGTCGGGCTCCGCAGGCAGGGGGAAGCTGCTGGGTGGGCAGAGAAGCGGTAGAGGAGGTGGCCGGTCCATTGCTGAAGCCGTTGGGGGTTGAGGGAGCTCCGTTTAGTGCTGTGGGGGAATGACTGCTCCCGTTCAGCACTGAGGAAAGAGAGCCACTGTTTGTATTAGCATCATTTAAGTCACTCCAAACTCTTTTGCTTTCCTTTTTCTCCATCTCAGTCCTGGGAAGCGCCCTCCAGGAAGCTCCAGCATAGCACGAAGAGGGCACATGCATTCCGAGAATGGTCAAAAAACCAACTGAAACTACAGATACACTATGACAGTAACGCAGCACATTGCTCTGTACTCTTCACTTCATTCTCTACTTTGAACAAACAAACCACAAATGGGACCAGCAGCAACCTCTCTCTCACTATCTTTCTCCATGACATACACACATGCCGCCCACCCGGTCTATTGCTCCCCACTGCTCACCCACTCACTCACTAAGACACAACTATAAGAGGAACGTGTTAAAGAGTTTCCAAAAATAGCCCCCTGGACTGGGTTACTTTTATTCCAACAGCAGGTGTGCATCTAAATCAGGCTGTGCACATGTCCACCAGCTGAGAGAGATTTGCAGCTTTCCGAGTCCAGGCCGCCCCATCGACACTTCCACTCCATCCCCATCTCATCCCTGCACTATTTATTCTTGCTTCTGATAGTTGATTGCCTTCTCCCTAACAGTAGGCCTTATATCTTATGTTACCTGCACCTGAAGCCATGACCACAGATAAACAAACATTATGCGAGCAGTGGACACAGCATGAGGGCTTAGAGTTACAGACCATAATCCTCCGGGACATTGAGAAGCATGTGATTGTGCAAACTCACCTCGGAAGCTAGCTTTGCTCCAGGTTCGGTGGCATGTTCACACTGCTGGGTAAGTGTGTGCATGGCTTCATGTTGCAGAACACAGGGTCTTTCATTTCGCTTGTGCCCCGTTTTATCTTGCCATTCCAGGCTGGACACATGTGGGTTTACCATGTGACCCCCACACTTGTGTTCTGGTTTTAGAGTGGCAAGCAGGCTACGCTATGACCCATGGAACAGGTGAAACAACAAGGCCCGTCATTGCTATATAGGGTAGCGAGATCTGCCAAGCCCTGTCGAGCCTGATGCTGCCTGCGAATCCCTCTGTATGCAGTAAACAAATCTCTTGCTGTGTATCCTAAGCACTCACACACCCAGACAATGGCTCAAACTATCATAAACAAACCCTCTCAAACACTCTTGGTCATGTTGAAAGGGCATTCTGTACTATATGAATACTCTGAACGTGACAATAACTCTTGTTGACTCATTTAAATTATTCTATGTTCTGGCATTACACTAATAAGCATGTTTATTAAGTGCACTGTCCCATTGTACATTTTTAAAGGGATAGTTCACCCAAAAATGGAAATTCTGTCATTAATTACTCACCCTCGTGTTGTTCCAAACCCGTAAGACCTTCGTTCATCTTTGGAACACAAATTAAGATATTTTGATGAAATCCGAGAGCTCTTTGATCCTCCATAGACAGCAAGGGTACTACCATGATCAAGGCACATAAAGGTAGTAAGGACATCGGTAAAATAGTCCATGTGACATTAGTGGTTCAACTATAATTTTACGAAGCTACGAGGATACTTTTTGTGCACAAAGAAAACAAAAATAACGACTTTATTCAACAATTCTTCTCCTCTGCGTCACCCCTAGTGCCATTTTGGAGAGTATCACGGTGCATGTGCGTGCTTTCATCTGCACGTAAACAACGCATGCGCGTGGTGCTGCTGACCTAAAACACGCATGTGCTGCGCCTTGTTTACGTTCAGAGGAAAGCAAATGGCAAAATGGCACTAGGGTGACGCGGAGGAGAAGAATTGTTGAATAAAGTCAAGTTTTCTTTGAGCACATAGTATAAACTATTTTGTCGATATTCTTGGTATTTTTCTGGACCTTGAACTTGGTAGTACCCTTGCTGCCTATGAAGGGTCAGAAAGCTCTCGGATTCCATCAAAAATATCTTAATTTGTGTTCTGAAGATGAACGAATGTCTTTCCGGTTTGGAAAGGCATGAGGGTGAGTAATTAATGACAGAAATTTCATTTTTGGGTGAACTATCTGTGGTGTTACTGTGGTGGTAATAAACTGCAGTATTCAAGGTGATGATAGAGTTACCTCCAATGTGTTATTATTAAGTTAGCTACCTATAAAATGTTTCCAATCACACATACACTCGGCACATCACAATACATTGTCGGTCGGTCAATCTCGTGAATTCAGCAAGTTCCAAAAACAAATGTATGCATGTTTGTACTAAGACAACTTACTTGTTGTGGGTGTAAATGATGCGTTGCGATTGGCTGCCTGGCTGACAGCAGGGGGTGGAGGTGGCATTGTGGGCGGAGTTGACCTGGGCTGGGTTTTGACATCAGCAGGTGAATCTGGCATCGTTCCAGCCTTCTGTCCTGTGCTACCTGTGGATCACATGACATTTACTCTTTTAGAGCTTTTTATACACAACAAAAGTAGCAAGATGATGAGAACAAAAGCATGTACATTAATGTGCCTGAAGTCTCCTAACTGCCAGGCCACAGCTCTGACCAATATGTACTTCTACTCTGCTACATGGCACTTGTTCAAACTGTATCATGTTTGACACATATGTTTTGTCTTGTTCACGGTGCTAGATCATGCGTGTTGGCATTCTTTTTTTCAGCAGTACCCCTCTAGTGAGTCGTTCAGACAGACTTATAATATTTCATAGCAGTAAATCTGTGCAGTCTCCGCTGATAGAGATAAAGTGTGGCTTTGGCAGACTGTGGCAGAGGGTGAATGTCACTGCTGTTGGAAACATCCAGTCACACCTGTTCTCATACTCAGCTGCTGCTGACGGGACCCCTCTGCCCACCACCCAACCCCCCCATCACCCCGACATCAGGTTTATCAAATGCACAAAAGTAAACATTAAACATGTGCATGTTTCACCTATATGTTGCGATGTTGTGTGTGAGCCTGTACAGAAGCATGTGTTGAGCAGCAGGCTCTCTGACAGGCGCCTCTTGTCTCAGTGCTGTCACTCACTGTGGATCAGTTGCCCTTACTTCTCTCCACTGTCACCTTCAGTCAGATAGACCTCCCGAAAAACAGCACAACACCCTGACCATATGCTGGGTCTACCAGCCCAGGCCATGTTCTGAGAAAGCCCCCACCGCCTGGCCGAGATGTCATGTGCAAAAATAACTAAACATACAGGGTCACAGCCAAACTACTAACAGCCAGATAATTGGTGCTCGGCTCAGGGGACATGCCGAGGGTCCTGAGGAGCACAACATTTTGTGTTTTCCTGATCCTCAATCATATAGTGTGTTCTAAACAGGTGTCATGCTACAATTTTCCACCACCAGGTAACAGTCTGTCCTTACTAATAACAAAAATGCAATGCGAAGTAATTATAACATATTTGATGCCTACACTTCCTTCAAGTAAACACATCATACATCATTCAGAAATTGAATTTTGAGGACTTGAAAGCTGCATTAATATATCTAATACCTGTACAGAACGGCACTTTAGTCCAATGACATTTCATGATGGGCGGAGCTACTTAGTGCATTGTGACAGAAATGGAAATCGAGCCAACAAAATTTTGATTATTGCAGTTACAGCTGGTAAGGTCCACAATTTTCATTTAATATGCAAATGACATGATTTATCGTTCGTTGTTTTACTCAGAAAAATTGCAATCTGTTTAGTGGTTTGGGAACTCTGGTTTGGGGGTCTTTCTATCACCAACATTTGAGACAAAGCAATTGTCTTGAAACATTAATAAAGAACAATACATGTAGAACATTACATGAACAGTAAAATAACAATAAAATATCAATAACAATAAAACATGTGCAAAGAGGGGATGTGAAAAGAGAAATTAGCTCTTAATTCTCATTTAAAGATTGACTGGTGCCCCAAGGCAATAAACATAACAAGGTATTAGGACTAATGCCATGCTGACCAAAATAGGCACAAGCTGGCCTGCCGTGCGGGGCTAACGGTGCACTGCTCTGTGCATCACTGTCCCTGACATTGCCAAATGTAGACAGGTAGAGAGGGATCTTGCTAAGGCCACAAGCCCTGCCTGTCCATCTGTCACTCAGTCCAGCAGCTTGCAGCCCCAGAGGGGCCATTAAACAAAGAACAGGCCAGCAAGCATTCACACAGACACACATCAGTCACACATGTCCTGAGGTAATGTTAATGTTAGTATTCAACAGGAGTCAATGTCAATATCTAGAGAGCAGTGTGGCCAATGGCTGATACAATATATATTCTGAGACGTTATAAGTAGGAAGTCATTTCTGTGTTTTGACATTATTTAAGCTTAAAGAGATGAATACAATCCCTTCCCTCTCAGGGCTGCTGGTTTAAAACTTCCTGACAGAAAAACAGGCCATAATCTTCCTTTTAATTTGCTTTTAGGGGAGCAGCACATGGTAATTCCTGCATGCATTCTCGGGGGATTGTGGAAGTTGCCATGACCTGGCTGCAGTGGCATGAACTCCCACAAGAGGACTGAGAAAGAGGGGCTGTCAAATATAAGTGAACACAAGGGAAGAGAGGCAAGTCTGCCCTGCTCTGCCTGTATCCACTGTGGGATTACAGATGTCTGATTAATCTGACCAGCTAAAGGACACCGTAGGACACACACACACACACACACACACACACACACACACACACACACACACACACACACACACACACACACACACACACACACACCGGGCACTGGATTTAACTTTTAATACATTAGAAAGTCCATGTATGAGCCCTTTCTGTGACCATCTGTGCTTCCATAATGCCCAAACAAAGGAATACTTAGATAAGATACAAAAAGAGACAATGCTAACTGAAAAGAAGATTCAAATTTATGACAGCTTAATCATCTGTAAAAGCAGCACATTCAATTGCTCACAACTATGTTTCCACCTTTAGTAAGGGAAAATTCTCAGTTTTTGAGAGACAGAGAGTGATTTTCCTCACACAAAGCTATCATTTGATTTCAGACAACTTTAATTATACTGTAGTTATATATTGGCAAATTTATTTTTATTTTGATATATAGATATATAGATTTATTACAAGACTTCACCAGATCTTGAAGTAGTCTACATTTCTTTTCATCCAGTGTCTACTTAACAATATTTTTTGGCACGAGGCACACTCTTTATTTCAATTTTAGAATTGTGTTTTTAGACATTGCAGACTTTCATTTACAAGAAACATCTGAGATACATTTATATGTAAATGAAAAGACTGAGAACTCAGACTGGGGGGGGTGGGGGATCCTGTTGGTACCTTCTTGTCTTAAAAATAAAGCATACACATTCAGTCACTCACATATCTGCATGAGATGGAAGCGCCATACTGAGAGATCAATAAGCCAAATAGATCTAGTTCACAGAGCAATACGCTTTTAATAGACCTCCTACAGATGTGTGATTTGATCCTCAATGCTGTGATTCTGTAATGATGTTAAAGCAGTCTCTTTGGGCTGTCGCCTTGGCCATATGCATCAAGCATATATCTTGACAGACATCAAGTCTGAAGGAAAACGCACACTTATAGGACAGCTAAAACTAACCTTGTCCATCTGCTTTTGTGTGCTATAATCAGATTGAAAAAACAAACTACAAAAGTGCTCCAGTTTGTAATTCGGAAGGTTTTTTGAAGTCTTTTGAGATCAGCAGACATTTGCTTTCAGTAAAAGATCCAAACACACAAGAATCCATCATATAATGACAAGCCCAGAATTCTGGTTTCTGTGATTTGCTCTTTTTAGAGTTTGTGAGATGTGTGTATGTGGAGGGTTTTGCTTAGCTATACTTAGCTAGAAGTTAGCTAAATCTGACAGAACTTCTCTTTGGGGACATCTAGGGATATCCTCAAATATAAAATAATTCATAAATAAAAAAAGTAATGTTTGGTGTTTGCTTATATAAGAGAAAGAGGCAAATGTATAAGCCTATAAAACACAAAGATCTCTTTTAAGGACAGGATTACAGGCTAGGTTCGTCTGTTGACATTATAATCAGATTTATATAAAAACAACAGAAGTCCATCATATAACCCCATTTAGATATCTAAGTACATGTGAGTGAGATGTGGTTCTTCGCTCACACTGGCACTTGTTCCGACCATCAGTCTGTACAAAGCTACCTTTCACTCAAACACAATGAAAAGCCCCTTGAGGTAACCCTCTCTCTCTTCACATGGCTTCTTTTCCCTGTCCCTGTATCTAACCCCCTCCACTCCACCCCTCTGTAATTCCCCGAGTCTCTAGGAATGCTCTTGTTTTTAATTTCTCCCAGCTGCTCTGGCTCTGTGCCCGACCGCCTGCCTTCCCACATCTGCTCCCCATCAGGCCGCTGCCGAGTCCACACAAACAGAGGCCTCTCATCAAAACAGCAGGATTACAGCCCTCGACCCCTGGCCAGCACTTCAAGACCTGTCCATCCGCTATCCCTCTCCCCAGCCATCCCACCATTTCTCCTCATGAACACCCAAAGCTCCTCAGTGGACCCCTGGACTGGAGCCCATGTTCTAAAATCTTTATGGTAAAGAAACAGACATTGCCATAAGGCTTGGATCTGACTGGACAATATCCCAAGACAGACATGAGGCTTTCCCCTGAAGAGGCCTTTGTAGGAGACCGTGTGAACGAGTATGGGAACTAGTATGGGAGGTGAGTAGCTAGCTGTACTGAGCTGACTACCTAGACCGCATCATACATTATGTGCGCTTTCAAGGCGAAGGCTATTCCAAAAGGTATACTGTAATCTTATTTTAGGCAAAATCTAAGGTAGGCTTGCATGTGTCCTTTGCAGCAATCCCAGAAAGTAATGCGATGTATTCAGGGGACAAAAAAGAGACAAATGTTAAGTGCCAATGTCAAATTTCATTCATTGTTGAAAGGAAATATCTGTAATCTAATCAAGAATGGATTCTTGCTAACATCAACCTCCACTAGAATCAATTGTCGAGTTGGAATCAGAGTTGAGTTGCATACAGAACCTTTCAAATCAGTCACTTATGGGGTTCCAATTCAGTTAGGATGCCCCTTTAGAAGGCACCTGCCTATTTAATGTAGGTAGTAGACAGTAAGTCAGCTCATTAGGTTTTGAAACAGATTTTGAAAGTCAGTTTGTCTACAGTATATCTGATTGGCCAGCGTCATGTGGTCTCCACACTGAACAAGAGAGCTTATCTTTTACTTATTTACAACTCATCCACTCATAGTACAATAAAAACAGGGTGAGAGAGCACGCACACACAAACACACACTCTCTGTGAGCCTAAGCTGGCGTCTTCAGCTGAGCAAATATGTTTTGAGAAAACAAACATTTAGATGGCAATAAATGCGTATTTAGTCACAAGCTGAACAGACCCCTGGGCCCTGAGACTCTGTATATGTATGTGT